GGCTGGACAGCTTCTGCTGGGAGGACAAGGTGGGCTCCTGGGTTCCAAAGAGGACAAGTGCTGGACAAGAGACTCTGTCTACTGTTACCCACAAGCAGCACAAAATTAAAACCTTCAAGAAGCCATTAACTGGCTCTCCTGCCAGATATCTCATAAGAAAACTGGAGAGAGACTGGATGTTATCAAATGAATGTGAATGCAAAAAAGAACCAGTCGGCCAGGTTTGGGCATATTTGAATCCCACCACTTAGCGAGGCTGAGGTACTAGGACTGTAAGTTTGAGTCCCACCCAGGCAACTTAGTGAAACCCTGTGTCAAAATTAAAAATAAAAATAAAAAGGGGCAGGGACGTGGCTCAGAAGTAGAACACCCCTGGGTTCAATCCCTAATACCACAAGAAAACAAACAAGAACTAGTCATAGCTTAGAAATAGTTTAAATCTAGAAGACAGCAAGAAAAGAATTTGAAATAACAAATGTGGGTAGCTAAAGATCAGCTTTAGCTCCACCAGGAAACAGAGGAAAATAAACAATTTAAGTCTGCTATTAACAGAAGACCACCAAGTCCTAGTTCCTGCTATTATTTGAGATTATTTATTTTATGGCATAAGGGAAAAAACAGAAGTAGAAGTTCCAAAAGTATGATTCATAATGGAGTAGGTTGGCAGACTTAAAAATCTTCAAATTGACAGCAAGATGATAGGGACTGGAAACTGTTACTATTCAAATGGTCCAAGGCGATCAGTCCCTCACAAGGGAAAGTTACCTCCTCAGCAAGCAGGACAATCGGCACAACCAGCTCTGACAGTAAGTGGGGTGAAAGACACCAGATGTACTACACAGCCACATGAAACAAGTTGGTGCCCAGGTTCCATTTCTGAGAGAGGGGTCTCTAACACAGGTCCCACCTCCATAGCTGACTTCAAAAGTAACTTGTCCATGCAGTGTGTGACATAGACAAGCAAGACAAGCCTCACCTCTGAGGCAGATGAGGGAGTGTCAGAATGTTTACACATCTTTCAGACTGAAGTAAGGATTGAGACACTGATTTTCATACCCACTGTCAGATCTGTACCCAGAGAGTACATCTGGACTACCAGGGTGCAAATCTAGAAGAAAAACTCAAGAGATAGCAGTTCAACAACTCCTCTGATAAACCGCAATTTAGAAATTTTCAGCTCTGCAAGGAAATCCATCACACACAGAAATAGCCTTCATGGTTCTAAACCATTCAGCATCCTTTCACTAAACATCATAAACATTCCTGTTGTCACAACCACAGCTTCCAATAAACAAACACACACTAGAAAAAGTAAATGATTCCACCAAGGCCTACCAGGCACCAGCGCCATCTTGGCCATGCAACTCCATGTCCCACCAATCCTGGGAGGATGACTAGGAGTCTTTATTCCCTCGCATGATGCTCTTACCAACCCGGGTAATCTAGGAGATGCCAAATGAGCATATACTACCTTTAACAATTAAGCAAAATTTACTCAATTCTCACAATTAAGCAAATTGGTACCATTGTGCATCCTCCTCCTCCTCTAAATCAATGATAATTCATTTCAAATTCCTTCCAGCTCTGTCTGGGGGAACAGAGGGAGAAGTTCACTTCTGATACCCAAAGGATTATGAATTACCATCTTGCTCTGCAACCTTCTTGATTCCCCAGGTCCTACTCACAGGGTGAGGAATTTAGAAATTACAAAAATCCCTAAATGTCTTCAATTTTGCACCAAGTTCCTGAGACATGGTTTTCTGCTCCCTGTCCTTTCTCTCTCTTCTTGCCTGTTTAAACACATGGACACAGAGTTATTAACTTTTACAGGAAAGACAAATAAAATAATGTTGAAGCAAGAACGCGGTGATGTCAGGCTGCAGCTAGCACCACTCATCTGTGGGAATCTGATTAGCGCTCGAGTGGCAGAGCTACCTGGAAAAGTGCTCACAATCAAATAAAAAAATGATACCAAAACATTAACCTGATGGCTAAAAACTCCACATTTAAACAGTTAAAGTAATAAAGGAGCTTTTATTGAGTATTTTTTATATTTCATTATGTCCCAAATTGACGAGGACTCCCGGATACATTTTCTAGACTTTTGGTTCCTCAAATCAAATGCTCTCTTGGACTTTTTTTTTAAACTAAAAAGAAACAGTATTTCTTGTAAATATGAATGAAAAGATTAAAGCTTCTCCTATAATATCGACATCAGCCTTGAGTGCAAACACAGCCAAACACTGTCACAAACGGAAGCAGTTTGCTGGTTTATGCAATTCTGGACCTTTTCATAAGCCATGATTTTTTTTTTAACCTTACACAAATACCAACATTTCCTCATTTGCACACATTATGTTCAAAATCTGTAGGGAAGGGAACTGAGGTGGAGAGAGCAGCTGAGTCTCAAGAAACCTGAGCCTGGAGTCCAAACCCAACACTAATGTGCCAGCACACCCAGCCACTCACACGTCCACCCTGTGCCTCGGACCCCTTCATTCCTCTAAAAGAAGGGGTTGATGCTGGGCGTGGTGGCACACACCTTTTTTCTCCCAGTTTTACTAAAAACTTTATTTAATAAGACACAGGAACTTCTATATGGAAAAAATACAAAACAGCAGCCACACATTTCCTAGTATAAAGCCATATTGTATAACTCAAATACTGCTCACCACAGTACTAAAATTAAATAGTACAACTATATAGAAAATTTAAACAATTTCTGACAAATTTCTACAACTGAATGTAGGATACATGTGAGCCCAACAACTTCTGAGAAATTTACATGGCAAAGCATAAGCTTTTAATACATTTGGTTCAAAACTTTATTATGTGCTAAGAACAAATATACAACACAATTAATATTTAGATTCTCATGAGAAAATAAAAGCACGTCACTATAAATATCATACATCAGAGTTCATAACCAAAATGGCACATCCCTTTAATCGTAGCACTCTAGGGGGCTGAGTCAGGAGGGTGGAAGAGGTCAAGCCCAGCTTAAATAAATTAGGGACTTACTGAGACCCTGCCTCAAAATAAAAGAAATAAAGGGCCAGGGATTTAGCTCAGTGGTTCCGCCGCCTGCTTTGCAACCACAAGGACCCGAGTTCAATCCCTGGTACCAAAAAAAATTTTTTTTTAATTTAAAAGAAATAAAATAGAAAGGGCTGGGGATGTAGAGTAGTTGGAAGGCCCTGAGTTCAATCCTTAGTATCACAAAAAAGGTGAGGAGGGATTTAAACAGATGCCCTTCAGGCCCTCTAGCCATGCTATTTATAATTTCCAGGTCAATTCCACAAGATGGCCTGTGATACCCTGGACAACGATGTAGGCTTAGGTGAAGGAAGGTCAAGGACAAGACCCAGCTTTTCCCAAACTCAGCTCTCTAAGGTCACGCTCAATTCAAAAGAACAGAAATTCAACAGAGGGAGGAGAGAAGGAAAGGCAGAAGAAATTGGTGCCGCCAAAAAAGACATTATGAATTTCGTATTTTACACATAACAAAGCTTTACTCACACTACTTCTATTTATTTTACATACAAGCTTAGTTATCTGATGTCCAAACACAGAAGATTAAAAGCTGCGAATGAGAAGAGAGAAAGGAGCCAACAAGTACAGGGACACTTACAGAAAAGACATGACAACAAAAAATGCTTAACAGCAAATGTCAAGAGAGAAACATCTATGAAAAGCAAACAAAAGATTCAAAAAACTTTTTAGTTTGGGCTCATTTACCATCGGTGGAATCACTTAAGAGTAGTGGCAAATATACAACATATTTATATTTCAACAGGTTTTGAAAACAAAGCTACACTTACAACACAGTGTAAACATTTACATCTAAAATGATGCTACTGAGTCATCAGGATTAAATTATACTCCAGATACTCTGCTTCATACAGCAAGAAAGCATATGACCCACTTTATATCACTCCCAGCCAAAAGTCTTAAAGGGCTCTGTTTTGTTTTGCTGTTTTCCTATGGATCTCAACAGCCATTCGAAAGCATGGCTCTCCAGAGTGACGTGTTTCTGGAGGCCAGAGAGGCTGGTTTTCTTGAACGGAACAAGAATAGTTTTTATTCAAGTTAGAGTAAGAAGCAGGAACCCAAATTAAGAATGACTGCTTACTAAGCAGTCACCAGGTCTTCATCTACCTCAGGAACTTACAAAGTCAAAAAGAACAAGCAGGGTCAGGAGTTTAGCTCAGTAGCGCCACTCCTGCCTCACAAGTGCAAGGTCTTGGGTTCAATCCCCAGTATGGGGGTTGGGAGGGCACAAGCAAAGATGCTGCTTTTGCCATCACAGTAGGACAAGGAAAGAGGCCAAAAGCAATGTGAGGCCAGCTGGTCCCACTCATGATTAAGGACTGGCCTTTTCAACAATCTTGACAAATGATCAGTAAACTTCCACTTGAATGCTTATAGTGAACAGGGAACTCACTTCCTTACGCCCCTAACAGGTTGTAAACTCATTTCAAGAGTCTTTTTTTTTATTTTAAGCAGGATCTCCCTTTGTTATTCAGGCTACCAGGCTAGCCTCAAACTCTCGGGCTCAAGCAATCCTCCTGCTTCAGCTTCCCAGGTAGCTGAAACTATAGGCAAGTGTCCAGCTGGAGTCCTTTAAAATGAATTGAAAACTAATTTCCTAAACCTTCTATCCTTTGGTCCCCTTCTCTGAAGGAGAACAATACTAACTGACCCACTTTTGGAAACACATTGGGTGAGAAATTAGGATAGGCTTCTTACACAAAAGCCTTCTCACTATCCAACAGTGCTTGGTCTCTTGAGCTTGGTCTAAGAGTAGCCCTGCCCTTCTGGGACAGCCAAGGCTACACCTGTAATGTCAGGATGCATTAGCAACGATAAAGGCCACAGTAATGCAAGAGACAACTTCACACACACGTCATTCCAGAATGGCTAGATTCAATCAAACATGGCAGCACTTCCGACAGCGCTGTGATCACCAGGGCCAGCACATGTGACGTGGACCCACTTACTGGAAGCTGCTGGAAACAGAAAGTGAGCGCTCCGCTTGAGACTGTAATGCACAGGGTTTTTATCAGCCCATAAGTGGTTTGGCATCTTTCTTTCCCAGGAACTACGTAGGAGTTCATTTCACATCTAAAAACAGCGAATGAAACTTCAGAAACATTAAAGGAACAGAAAGAGATGGAGAAAGAGGATGGTACACTTACCCTCACCTTAAACACACGCGATCCTTATGGGGAGAAAAGTAAACTCTCACAAGGTGCTGATCAGGAATCAAAGCCAAAGGTGACCTGGCCTTAATTCTAACTCGGTCAACAACTTCTCAAGTGACTTATGGAACTAGTACTGCTAGAGGCTCACCAAAGTGTTACAAGGAATAATTAGTTAGCATTTATATAACACTTTTCATCTTCAAAGTAGGATTATTAGTCTATAAGGTAGACTAAATGAGGTTTGAAAAATCTTTTAAAAATCTTAAAATAAAGCATGTAAGCAAGTTCTGAGAGGCAGTATCAGCCAGTGTCACCTCGCAGCAGCCAGAGATGGCCTCCGTGGGCACCCTCTCCAGTCCCAATCTGCACCTGCCAGTAGAGACAAAGGTACCAAAACATTTTATCAGGAGAAATGGCAGTAAGTATAAAGAAGAGAAAAAGGAGAGAGAAAACATTAGAGGAAAGAAATGGCAGAAAATGCAAAAAGGAGGCGAGATAAGGAGAGGAAAAATAAAAGGAAAGAAATGATCAGAAAAGAGTAAGAAATGGGGAAAAGAAGAATCTTTTCCATTAGAAGAGAAAAAACAGTGGGGCCAGGGATTTAGCTCAGTGGTACCATGGCTGCCTTGCAAGAACAAGGCCCTGCGTTCAATCCCCAGTACAAAAAGAAAAAAAAAAGAGCAAAAACAGGAAGAGAGGAAGAAAAATAAAAACAAGGAGAAATGGAAAACTTCATAAAGGGAATGTTTGTCCTGTTTTCAAAGAAAAAGGCTAAAAGTAAAAGTTAAAATTTTAAATGGGGGGCAGACAAAGAGCAAATAGAAAAATAGGACATAAAGCTTTCAAGAGAATGTCTGGAAACCAGAAGGCTGGAAATCATTAGCAAGTCCATAGTGCGTCTACAGTGATACTGTGTGGATCAATTCATTTAACGCTGCCCTGTACATTTACAGAAAAGTACCTCTGATATAATAAAGGCTCATAAACACGCAGAAATTGGGTTAGACCCGTTTCGAATTCCTGCCAAACAATGGTTCAGAAAAATGAAGCTCTATTTTAATTAGCTGGATTCACGAGTGATTTGATAACAGCAGATGCTGTCTGGATGCTTTCAGCTTGATGGGCTCCACATATATGAACTTAGAGTGGTTTGATGCAATTAGGTATTTCTTTCTGCTCCAACATGCCAGGTCCAAGGACTTGAACCTATGTGTAGCCCCAATGTTACTGTATTTATCTGCATGTTGATGTTTCACATCACAAAGATGAGAGAAGGGACCACACGAGATAAACAGAAGAATAGTTTTTAGAAGTCACTGGTGGGCAGAAGGGAATACTCTCACAATTACACACTCTTTCCACTGGGGAAAGAAAAGTTGGGCAGCTGTGTGAGAGGAGGCATGTAAGGCACTCTGTGTAGAACCATTCAATACCTGAGCTGAAACATGACAGGCTGTGCGCTTCCAATTTTGCAATTCCAGTCCAGTGTTACAGCGAAGGATTAGTGTGCCTAATGCACAGCCTGACCCGGGACTAAGTGGCCTTCAAAATGTTCTTTGTAATCAGGCATCCTATTATAAACCGGGAGCACCATTCCCTGAGACAGGCGATGGTATTCAGGATCGCAACCCTGAAGTCCAAGTATTTTCACCAGGTGCTTTCAAGCCGGGCACCTCTCTGGCCCCTTCTCCCTTTTAAGCACTCTCCCTTCCAAAGAGCGTTCTGTTTGCTTTTCCCAAAGCACTCACTGCCCTCTGCTATGACCACTTAGCGCAGCCCACCCATCTGCACAGAGCGGCAAAAGGACCTGCAGAGAGCACAGCAGCTTCTAGCACTGGGACGCGCCTAATAGGAGGACCTGATCAGTTAATTATCTGTCAGTTTGTCACGGCTGGGCTGAGAAGGGGAGGATGGGAGAGGCGGGTGTTGAGGGGAAGCTCTACTCGCTGTGCTCCTCTTCCTGAAATTCTGAATTAGCCTTCTGAAATTGTTCACCCTCTGCCGGAGGACATGCAGGGACAGAGGGTGGAGAAGACAGGACGGGGACTTTGGCTGACTCCTGGAAGAAGGGGGCACCCGAATCCCACTATTACTTCTCTAAGCACACAGGAGAAACCCAAACCCCTCACTTTCTCCTGGAGAGGACAAAGCGGACACAAGGACCTTCACACATCTCCCCTTTGCCGGCACTAACAAGCTCAGCACTGTAAATCAAGGATGAAATCCTTGTGCCGGGAAGTGACGGGGAGGCATTTCTTCTGCAAAGAGCCCAAACATGCTGCCTGTGTGGGAAGCAGCATTTCAGGACAGGGTTTGGGAGGCAAGGAGCTCTGTGCTGGCAAGGGAGGGAAAAATATGTATTTATTACATATAGAGAGCCTCCTTCTTCAAAAGTTACTTATTTCGTGAAACCACTCTGCTAAACAGACGTTTCAATTTAATTGAGTCACAATCTGCATATTGTAAATGCTCCAAGTAAGGGTCTTTGAGACTTTTGTTCTGTTAAGTTCATGGGTTCGCTAGTAGATTTCCCAATATATATATCAGCAGGAATGTAAGACGAATACAAAGGACTGTCCTTTAAAATATATTATTTGTTGGGCCGGGGATTTAGCTCAGTAGTTCCGGCACCTGCCTCGCAAGCGCAAGGTCCTGAGTTCGATCCCCAGTACCAAAAAAA